AGAAAACACAAAATGTTTCATCCTCCTTTACCCACAGATTCCTCCAGCTTCAGCCCTCTGGGGCTGATTGAATCTGCAGTGGGTAGCGGGGCAATACTCCTAGTCACTGATGTCTGGATTTTTGTTTTTTTTCCCAGGGAAGTTTGGCACTGGCATTCAGTCGTATTTCTTCTTCTTACGGTTCCTGGTGTTACTCAACGTAGTGATCTTTCTGATCATCTTTATGCTGGTTTTGCTGCCAGTCTTGCTCACCGAATACAAGATCACCAACAGCAGCTTTGTGTTCATGCCATCCAAAGCCATGGGTGAGTCCAACGCCTGGTTTGCCCTGAAGAGCGTACTGTCACTGTGTCCCTGGCTACAATGCTTCCTTCTGTAGGAACCTTCATATCCTCAGTGTCAGGTGGTTGTATTAGTCAGGATGGGCTAGGTTATGTCCCAGAAACAAACGACCCCACAATGCTCAGCACCTGATAACCATGAAGGTTTCTTTCTTGCTTACAGTACATGCATGTCCATCAACGTTTGGTGGTGGCTTTGCTCCATCTTGTCTTCACTCTGGAGCCCAAGCTGATGGAACAGACATTAGCTGGCACCTTGACAGTCACTATGGACAAAGGAAAAAGAGCTATGATGAGCATGCTGACTCCTAAGGCTTCTGCCTGGAGGTGACACACGTCATTTCTGCCACATCTCATTAGCCAAAGCAAGCCACTCGGCCACTCCTGAGTTCAAAGGCATTTGGGAGGAGAACCGTAGGGTCGGAAAGTGGAATAGTTAGCAAACATAATTTAATCTACTCCAGTGTTTTTATTTCAAGACTTTGTCTCCAATAAGGGTGATGCTCAGGGCTACCGATTACTACACACCGATCGTGTGCCAGTGGCATGTGCTGGACCTGTGTCGTCTTACTGAATTCTGCACATAAGTCAAATCTTTTGGGCCTCTTGTTTATTCAAATGGGGAGAGTTTGAGTCATTCCACAGATATTTGATTACCCTCTAGTACCAGGCTCTGCTCCGGCCTAGAGGTGGAGACTTCATTCTTATCACGTAACTCCTTTCCCTGGAAGAACCCGCCTCTAGGATCACTTCTGTGGTTTAAACATTCCATCTTATCATATTTTTTTT